ACACGGAAACGGTGCAGTCAGAGCCAGCAAAGCAAGGTGTTGTACCTGTCGCAAGGGTTTACGCGAGATCGAGTGAATGAATGCAGTCCAATTGCCTTACATGGGATGGAAAGCCAGCGCATTGACGGGTAAACCTGATCGACGTTGTCCACGGTATGCCTATGGCACTTGAACGCATACTTTTTCGCCTGAGTAGCAGCAGACCGGTCAAAGTATTCGACGGCGATGCGGCCCTCCAAAGACGCGGTGGCATAACCTGATTCGTGTGTAAGAGCAGTCAGACTCACGCAAAAGAACTTGAACTCACCCTGGCCATCCGACATGCAAGCCAAACTACGCGTCATATACTTTAAGCTACTCTCCCGCTGCTCTGCCGGGGTTGCCATGTTTCGGATATCATAGATGTTGAACAGGCGGCTAGCCATTGCGACAACGATGTTGTGGTTGGCCATGTCAAGACAGTACACGCGCTCCGGCGTCGCTGTGACGGACTGTTGAGGAGTTGCTGCACGCGCGTCCCACAAACGGACGGAGCAGTCCCAAGACCCAGAAACGAGAGAGTCTGGGGGAGCTTCAGCAGGCTGAAACGTGCGCGACTGTGTATCACTCAACTGGACTCCCTGGAGTACACCAATCCAGAAACAGCATCTGTGTGCGAGCCCACTGTGACCATCTTCTCTGTACCCAGCTCAAGACTACGCCCCCAGTCAGATCATTTCCGGTGAGGAAGTAGAGCCTGGCTCACTGTCTTATGGTCGCATCAAGCCCACCACTGAACGCGTGAGTCGAATCACCGAAACTGCAGCTGAGTATTGCTGCTCGATGCTCGAATTTGGCCAGTTGCTCCGAAGGCTTGCTATTGGGATCGCCAACATGATAGTATCTCACAGTCTGTGCATATGTTTTAGGCGATGAGTCGCGTTTCATGGAAGGACGGAACGCACCGTGTCCCAAGAGGCAACCAGAAGCTTGTCCGGGTCCGTAGGCGAGTACTGCAGACACGAGATAGTATCAAATGGTGGCGAGGGAAGTGCGGAATAGTTTGCGTCTAAAAAGTATATATGTCAAAAGCAGAGGAAAGAAAGGTCTATCTGCTTACCACCCATGACTGTTCGACAAAACGCGAAGATGTTTGCAGCTGTTACGAAATGCCCGCATTTGGACTTGATCGCGAACCATCACGAGCGCGGGGTTGCTTGCACCCTAGCATCACTCACACACACCTGCCAGTGCCACGAGTCTTGTCATGTCTCTTCCATCGACCGCTGCAGTCAAGGCACAACTGAAAGGTCATCTGGGTGCCAAAGCGGACGACTACTTTGCCACCCTGAATCTATTTGTAATTGGACAGACGTCGCGTGCCGAGTTTGAGGAGACTATTAAAGCAATCCTCGACGCGCCAAATCTCGGTACTTCTCCCCTCTATCCAACACTTAGCCTTTGATTCAAATCGCCCGACTAGTTCAGCTCCATAACACCTTGATCATCTCGCTGTTTGATGCTACGAAACACAAACGGCCTCCATCTCCCGCAGTAGTTCCGCGTCCTAAGCCACCTGCCCGCAAAAGACGCCGATTATTACCATATCAAGGCCCAGATGAGCATCCAGAGAATCTCTCCCTGCGATCAACACGTCTCAAGCGCTGGGCTCTGTCCGTGGGCAAACAGGAACGCGAGCGGTTGAAATCGTTCCAGGCCAGTCCGCTCGACGCCCGACCCTTGGTCTCGGATGAGATTGCATCCGAACGCGGCGTCATACTGCTACACGAGCGAGGGGATCCACCCGGGAGTCGATTGCCTGTCCATCTCGCAGCCAACGCTGGCGCTCCAACGGTACAGCATATCGCAGACCGCATGAACTTGATATGTGCGCAGAACAATCTGGGAGCGCCGAATCGCGCCGTGCCCTCCCTGATGAATTTGGCCTGTGAGGTTTGTGTATTTGCTCATCGCACCTGGATAATTGTAAATATGTAATTTCCAGGCAATGCTCAAGCAGCTCCTCACGCACGCACTGACATTGACCTCGACCTCCCAAACCATTTCTTCGATCAACGCATCGACATCTCACTCCTCACGAGCCCCACCTGTGCTTTCCGCAGCAGCCTTCAACACCCTTTTCACAGTCTCGCCCGCAGACATTCCGAACAAATCCGCAGCGGCTGTGCGTTTAGGGTTCATGGGCGAGGAAGAAACGAGCCACGACAGCGACGGCGATATCGTCCTGCTGAAGGATCGGGAGGTTCGAGATCAGCGCTGGCAGATCCTGGCACTTTTAAGCGAAAGGAGCACGGTACGAGAGGTCCTGAGTGGGCGGACATTATGATCTTGTATTCTTACATGGTGGGATATTTATGCACTCTGTACATAGACTTATATGTATACGTAATCAAGCATCCTTCAGCGTCTCGTTGTCGGAATCTATGACAATGACCACGTCCGATGGCGTCTGTGAGGATCGGGTTTCAATGCTCGAAGACGTGGGACCCTCCACAACTATCTGAGCTTGATGTTTTGATTTACGAGCCTCCTCCACCAAACGACTAAACTCAGAGCGATTAGCCTTCAGATGCTCATCAGGCTTGATAGACTCTGTGTCCCCCTTTTTCTTCAACAGCCTGGCGTGATCCTCTTCCCACTTTTTCAGCTCCCTCCTGAGCTCACCAATCTTTTGTCGTCGTTCGACCCCCTTGTCGTGATTGGAATTCCAGAGCATTGTCCATCTTCGACGTGTCAATATAGTCAGGCGAGGGAGGGACAGAGAGAAAGACCCACCGTTGATGCCGCGCTACCAACGTCGCTCTGTCGCCGATCGTGACAAGCCCATGCTCTCCTAGCTTATCCCGTATCTGTTTCTCTTTGAGAGTGTCATAAGAGAGCTTGGGCAATCTGTCATCAAAGTCTCTGACGCTGTCCGTTGAATTGTACTTTGGTTTGGAGGCTAGAAGCAACGGACCTCTCCTTGTCTTTCCCTTTACTCTTCGGCGGGCCGCCCAGAAGTTGGCCCCATGCAGCAGCCGTGGATCTGGGTTTCCCCTTCGTCTTGGACATTGGAGCCGATGTTGCAGCCTGGTCGTTTGGACTGCTAGAACAGTCTTCAAGATGCATGTTGATCGATTTGTACCGCATGCTGCGGCTACATATGGGGCACTGAATCATGTCTTCAACTAAAATGTGGTTTCATATCTTTCTTGACTGGGTGAGTAGCGACATGCATACGTTCTGGCTCCGACCGGGTGGGCTCCTCCAGAGGCGACGAGCTATGTGGAGACTTCCGTGGGCTCGTGGGCGCCGCCAAACATTCTATGTCGGGACTGATTCTGCGCTTCTTCTTAGGAGGCTCTTCCAAGAGCTCAGACTGCTCTTTTCTCGAATACTGTAACACGGATGGCCTGGAACACGTCAAGGAAGACGACGAAGGATACCAGAAGCAAATACCTGGATTCTATCCACGCGCCAACGATATACTCTATTCCCGGGTTTGGCCTCAGCTGACCCTCGTTTGCTGGATGCCTGCATGTCGGACATTGCGCCTTCGCAGAAGAGACATTCAATGTGTCGCGTATGCACTTCTCCGGCTCAGTGACCAGTGAATAGGTATAAAGAGATCTGGTGACATACCATGGAGCAAAACGTATGCCCGCACTGGAGCGAGACTGGACCATTGAAGTAGTTCGAGCAAATGGGGCACCGCACGGCCGAGTCAAGGTCGCGCAAAGGTTTTGCTGTACTCGGAAAGTCACTTGGGTCAGAAATATCTTGCGCCAGTAGAGTGCTGAGCTTGTTCGAATTCATCGTTCTCGCACGACGATGAGGAGAGTAGACTGGTGGCGGTAGCGTGACCGATGATCATGAGACGCAACACGGAGTGTCACTCTCACATGATATGTGACTACATTCCCTGCGTGACAAATGCCACAGGATACAAGTACAGGAATAAATGACTGCTAAGAATCCAACTCAAACCATCTCATCTATAAACTCATTCTGGTCTTCCTCCTCCTCCTGTTCCAGATTCGCCGGGTCCACGATCATCAGATCAGACCGATTTCTGCAGTCACAGAGCCGTCCAATGCTTTTCGCGTTCGCGGAATCATTGAGAACATGCATTGCCCGCTCTGCTGCAAGATTCTTAGCAATGAGCCCGCTGTGAGAATTAATTGGGCCGGCGATGACAACGTCGTGTGCGATGACTGTGACGGTGTGTCGAGCTCCGCCGTCTGTTACACTTTTCCTTGAAGGACGAAGAATGAGAAAGTTGTAACTGTGTGGCGAGTTGAAATAGATATCCCACTGACTTGAACAAAATCCGTTTTGGGCTCAAACAACCGGCGGCAGCGGCCCATTCCATGAGTTCGGATATCGGGTCGCGTTGAACAGCGGGCGAGAGCACATCGAGGAGATCGCTCATTACGTGCTCTACGACCAGAGCCGTTCGTTGATAGTCGTAGCCCGAGTCTACAAATACAGCACCAATCACACTCTCGAACACATCACTTTCAAAATATCAGTGAGTGAGCGGCCCCCATGCGTCGGAAAACCTACCTGAGAGCCTTCGGTGGGTCATATCGCCAGCCTCGCTGCACGGTCTCTAGAGGACTGCACGCTTGGAGCAGTGGTACATGCCTCTCCATCTCTCGGCTCAGCTCGAAATTATTCACGAGCAGCGACTGGTGCAGCTGAAGCCGTTGCACTCCAACGGTAGCCAGAGCTGGGGCGCAGACAACACGAGATCGCGCCCATGACAATTGGCCCGAGTTAGCCACGGGGAACTTACGATACAGGTATTCAACAACAACCAGCTCGAGAACAGCATCTCCCAGAAACTCGAGTCGCTGGTAAGAGCTCGTAGACTGGTTGTCAAAGGATGGATGTGTCAGCGCTTCGACCAAAAGCCTCTGCGACCGGAATTGGTAGCCCAACGCGCCTTCCAGACGTGAGAATGTGAATGAAACAGGGGATGTTTCGCGAAGATGGAACCGAGATTCCCAAGGAATGCAGCCGCCGAAATCAACACCCAATGCGGATCCACATCGCAGAGCCATGTTGATTCCACCAGTGACAAAGCTGGCACCAAGTATCGCCTCCATGCAATCCTGCAAGCTCCTCCTCGGAAACTTCCGTTTCACAAGCCTACTGCCGGCCAGCTCATCCGACCTGGCTCGTTGCATGTGACCGTGCCAGGTACTGATATTACGCGATTCGCACGTGAGAAAGGCTTCTAAGCCAATGTCCTTTGCCCTGGAAAGCAGAAAACGGTTGCAGACGCTGTTCTTCCGCATGAGCGTCAATTGCCCTTCGTGGTGATTGGGATAGCGGTTGAAGAGATGGACTGTTGTGCACAGCTGAAGAACTGCATCACCGAGCGTCTCCAGTCGTTGGTTATTGACTCCTGCTGCAGCACAGGGGAGAGTCAGCGCCTCGACGAGAGTGTCCAGATCTATCGGCGGGAGACGAAGCGAATGCCGCGCTTGTTGTGCTCTGTAGACATCCGTAATCCGGAAATATAAGTCCGGTATGTGCGCAAGCAAGTCTCGGAATGCGACCGGCAGTCGAATCCACCGGCTTCCCAGTTGCGGCAGGATGGTTCGCGGCTCCGAGTCATCTGGATGCTGCAGTCGCGAGTACCGAACAAGTTCTAGAAGTGGCCCTTCAGTTGGAACCAGAGGTTGCTGTTTCCGACCAGAGCACCTGCTCAGCCAATAGTCATGATAGCTTGGGAAATCGACAGCCCGGGGACAGTCGTTGGCACTTGGAACCGATAATGGAGAAAGATCTTGTCGGATAGACTTCAAGAAGAAGTGTCGGCCGTACATAAGGGAATTAGTCACCACGATATCAGTGAAATCTGTGCTAGGGATAGTGCTCCAGTCAGAGCTGTATGAAAACAAACTCTCCATCATAGCGAAGTCGGGTTGGCCTCCGTCTGTCAAAGGCACAACGTATAGCGCGCAGGGTTCCTTGATGGGGCTTCCGGAAATACGAAGGTAGACGCAGTCGCGCATGAATTTGCACATGAGCTGCCTTGAACCATGGCATGATTCCAGATCAACAGGTTCAGCATCGCCCAGTGCGAGTGTTTCACCCGTTGGTAGAGGAACAGAGACGGCAGGCAGACGCGATCCCGTGACCAGCCCAGCCACAAGCGTGTCATTGACGCGGATGGGATGGATCCAGAGGTCTTTGATTGCTGTCCATGGATCCTCGACAGCCACTTCCATGGTCACAGGCACTGATCCGACTTTGATCAACGGAGCTCCCTGATTGTCCTGGTCGGCTTGAGGTGCATCGGAGACAGGCAGCAAAAAATTGTCAAACACTTCGAGCTCGTGTAAACGTTTGACAGCCCGGAAAGCCGCGGCACGCTTGGCCTCCTTCTTTGTCCTTTTCAGGGCTCCTTGGAACACGAGATCCTGCCGTTCCAATGGCAGAGCAGCCGGCAGCCGCACAGTTGACTGGAATTCACCGCTGTACACGGGAGCATATGCATCACAGAACGGTTCGTGGGGGATCAACGAGCACAGCCGCACGAGCAGAGAAATGCAGTTGTCGTAGGTGAGAGTCGCGCCAGTGCCTGGAACGATGTACCGCTCCCGCTCTGAAGGGTCGACTTCCTCGTCGTCCTCGTCTTCAACTTCCGACTCTTCTTCGTGACGCGTTCGATAGATACTTTTCAGTAGGGGGTCTTGGTTCGAGAATGACTGGTACCGTGCCAGCTGGGCTTGATCCGAATCGTTGACCATGACAACGAACTTGGAAGCCTTTCGGCGAGCGCGCCCTCGGGACTGGACGTATCCAATCATATGTTGCAGCTCGTCAAAGCGAACCACGACATCGCACGCAGGAAAGTCCAAGCCTTCTTCCGCAACTGACGTGGCTACAATTATGTTGATCCGCCCCTCGCGAAATGCTTCGATTGAGTCCTGCGAGGACCGTTCGGCAGAAGTCCCGCCTCCGTCGGACGATTTGTCGCTACCCAGCAGTGCAGCACACCGCACTTTGCCCTCGAGTGGCGGGATCAACGGCAGTAGGCGCGCCAGACAGACCACGACTTGTCGCTGTTCTGCGAAGATGATTCCTTGAAATGAGGCAGAATCGTGCTCGAGAAGGACTTCCACTAAGCTCCGGACTTTAGGCGAACACCAAGCAAGCGGCACAGATAGAGGAACGGCAGTTTCATCGAGGACATCCTGCATTGCGATCATGTCCGCCGCCAAAGATGCCTCGAACAGGTGATGACGTGAGTCGTCGTCGATCATAATCGCGTCCGCTTTCTCTTTCCTCAGCGTCAAGAGTCGATGGCCGATCTCAAGACGAAGAAAGTCTGATGCTGAATGGGGCCCAAGATTCGAGAGTGTGATGTTGTATCTTCGAGTAATCTCATCCCAGTTGACTCCTGAATCCAAAAAGGTCCTTTCGAAGACCGAGATGTAGTCCCAAAGTGTAGGAACGGGGAACCCGTCGTAGTGCAGGGGCGAAGGCGAGAAACGTTTGATGACCTGCGAAGAGACATGATCTATGGAGGATCCAGCAGCCCGAGACACGCACTCACCTCTACCGCTGTAGGAGCATGGGATATCAATTCCTCCGCATTTGCCCGCACCGCAACCACTTTCGCGTCGAGCGTCCTCTCAAGATCTGCAAGCGATTTCTGCACGTTCTTGACGTCCCACACAGGGCTGGCAGTCATGCCAAATATCTTGGGACGCTAGATATCGCCTATATCAGTCGTGGAAAGTCGAAATTCAACTGCGCCCGAACCAGGTCCACGCGTGTTTCGATATACTCGCGCATTATCTGGCTGTATGGATGGTTCTTTCTGGCGTGATGACATTCGTCGAATATGAGCAAGGAGAACTGCGCATCTCGATCAGGCACGCGTTCGGATTCGGGCGTGTGGACTCCCCTGGCTGACAGTCCAAATGGAATGCGTTATCAGGTTCACCAAGATTTGGGCTGAGCGCGGTGAGGCGTTGCAGTCGAGTCAGATGACGGGCCCGTACGTGTCATCACGAACACATCGTGCCCATGTAGTATTGCCTCCCACCGCTCCCTGCGCACAACCTCAGCATCGACAAGCTTTCACCCAATCCGACGCCGACCTCTTCGCGAAATCGATCACGTTCTCCCCACTAAGCTGGGCCACTCTGAGAGTGCTGTGCGACTCGATGAACCGGCTCTGTTGTTGCACCAGCGCTACTTTTGGCGCGAAGAAGATGGCCTTGCTGTTTGGCCGGGTTGTACATATCCATTTGAGCAGAAGCAGGCCGATGAAGGTTTTGCCTGTCCCGGTGTCAAGGACTGCGATGACATTGCCTGCTTGCGCCTGTACAAAGATTTCCTCCTGGTAGCGACGCGGAAGCAGGTCGATTCCGGAGACTGCACTCATTGGGAGCAGAAGAGGCAATCCTGAATCGTTCACGGGACCGATTCAAAAGCCAAAATCGGTCACGTGGGCGCGAGTGTCTATTAGCACACGCGCTTTACAGTTTCACTCCGAAAGAACAGATAATACATGGTATCGATACAGTGAGTAAAAATGAGATTGATGAAGAGCTTAATCCTCCTCCTCATCACCCGGCTGCCCCCGTCGGAATGCATGAGCTAGAGTTTGCTCCAACGTCTGAACGAGCGCAGGATTCTCCAGCGCAGCGGCGACACGTTCTTTGTCATTGAGTTGTTTATTCACTGTTTCTTAGTCTGGGCCCCTGATGAGAAAGAGAAGGGGAGACAGGCGCACCAGCATGCTCGCTCTGGTGAGAGCCTGGCTTCAGCGAGATGTCGATCTTGAACCGGTCCGGTAACGCTCTGAGCAGACGGACTCGGATCGAAAGCCCTACAGAGTCGGTGAGTAGGCTTCTGACTGAGCATACGGAATTTCGCTCACCGATAAGAGTTGACATGCCACAATGGGGAACCGTTGGAGTGAACTCGACATGAACATTGTTTTGCCGGACTGATATTTGCGGTGCAGAGACCACCCGGAGCTCTTCGAGTGTGTTTGGATGCTCTGGGTCGTATATAGAGCGTATCAGATCTGCCAGTCGATTGAATGACAGATGAGAGATGGCCAGGAAGTCGACGGACCAAAAACTTCATCTGCGTCAATTTCTTCCGTCAAGATTGAATCGTCGTCGTCGTCCAGAGCGCCTTCGGAGTCGCCAATCCACAAAGATCTCTTCTTGGCTGAATTTGAGGCTTTGACAGGTGCGAAGATAGTGGGATTTGGATTGAAGACCTCGATTGCCATGACTGATGAGAGAGCAAGCAATGATTTGATCGAGTCAGAAAGGCAAGTGTCACGATATCGTCACAGTCACAACCCCATTAGGCCGCGACTTGTGCCCCTACTGCTACACGTTCCCCACACGAGTTCGAACTGCAAAATGCCCCCTAAAGTACGCATTCGTTGGAATCGCGAGTTCGCTCCCCAATGACGCGCCGGCTCCCAGCGTAAACGCGCGACAGACGACACGACCGGGGATACCAATACGTCGACGCGACCTACGCGGAGCAGCACACGCAAATCGACGAGCTCGAATAATGCAGCTGGCACCTCAACTAACGCTGTGGACACCAATGGAACGGCGTCGTCAAGCCAGGTGGCATCCGGAGGCTCTGAGGCTGAGGTAAACTCTTGACCATTCTTATGTCTGATGACGACATACTTTTAACGGACTTTCATGAACAGCCTTCTGTAGCAAAGAAGCCGAGAACTTCAAAAATATCCGGAACCAAGGGTGGGACGAAGAAGGGACCGACAAAAGGGAAAAAAGCTGCGGCGGTGTTGTGCGTGCACTGACTTTTCTTTCTTTCCTATTCGACGATGTCTCATCCTTTGCTTTCCAAATCATCTTCTCGTTACACTTTCCGGAAACACCGACCTCTCTTAAACCCACAATGTGCAACACCAAATCGTGCTCGCAGGGCTGATGACGTAAGTGTACTTACGCTTACATCACTGCGCTGCTTTTGACGTGTGATGACGGCAGGCAGAAGACAACGCCTCTTTGCTGTAAGTCTCACAGCCCTCCTCCACATCTGGGTTTTGCATGTGTATACATGCCCCGTTCTTCCGTGTTTTGCTGTTTTAACGGTCCACCTTCCCCCAGTGATGAGCCTTCAGCTCCCAGTACGTCCAAAATACAAGTGCGTGTGCCTTACTCCTTCCAGTCACGCGCCGTGCTCTGACACCTGTTCGAAGGTCGCCGAAGTCCCGCTGACTTTCATTGATTCCCAACCTCCATCGCGATCTTCCGTCCATCTCACACCGGAATCGCTAACCACACACTCATCCATCGCCCCCCCTCCGCCCGTAGCCGCACCCGTGCCCACACTCGTCAAGCCCGAGCCCCCCATGTCCAAGATCGAATCGTACAGCGCAGATCGCTGCGTGAAACTATTTGCGCAATACACAGACGAGGATGACCGCAACGTCATCGGACCCGAGGGGTTCGAACGGCTATGCACGGACGCAGACATATCCTTGGAAGGAGCGGGGCCGCTGATCCTGGCATGGCAGCTCAACGCGAAGGACATGGGCAAGTTCACGCGGGAGGAATGGACGAAGGGACTGGGCGCGCTCAAGTGCGTCTCGCGCACGATCAACACTGTTCCTGCCTGACATCCTGATCTATCAGGATCTCGTCCTGCGCCCCCCTCTGCATGGCTGTTTCTGACTTGGACAGCTTGCTCATCCGGGGTGAGCCGGCGGTGAAGGCTGGTAGGAAGGATGCCTACGACAAGACCGCCTACACCAGGTATGCTGCTGACGTGAAGAAGGCGTTTGGGTCTCTGTACACATTCTGCTTCAACCTGGCTAAACCAGAGTGCGTCCACTTCTTTTCGCGCCCCCCACCCTGTATCTGAGCTTGGCAGGCAATCGAGGAACATTGATATGGAGGTGAGGACCTTCGCCGTGTGTCCCGATTCGCCCGCTCACGTGCCCGATAGACGTCGATGGCTTTCTGGTCGGTGCTGCTGCTGCCCCAGTTCCCCATCATGAAGGAGGTCCTGGAGTTCATCACTGTGCGGAAATAAGTTGTCTCAGCCAGTCTCTTTCTGAGAGATGTCTGCAGGAGAAGAACTCGTACAAGGCTACGAACAAGGATCTCTGGAGCATGGTATGCCTTGCCGCCACCTCCCTTGCGTTCTGCGCGTGACTCAGACGTTCTCAGATGCTGGAGTTCTGTCGGACCGTCAAGCCCACACTGCAGGACTATGAAGCTGACGGTGTAGGTCGCGGTCTCCTCCCCACCTCCACACGCTTATTATCTGCGTCACCCAGGCCTGGCCCACCCTGTTAGACGACTTTGTCGCATGGAAGCAGGAGAAAATGGAAGTCAACGGCGGACCCTGAACAGAACACTCATTTGGGTGATTCTAGCGGATTCCCGCATCGCATAGCACGTACTGCTCCATTCTCAATCCATCCATCCCTGGACTCGTGCCTCCGGTATGAGCGTGGGAATGTAATGTAGACGCCGTCACTCGAGTATGTAGTCAGTGTAAGAGTGTTGCGTTACCCCAGCCCCGATGTTTAGAAAGCAATAGCTGTGAAAGCAGATTGACCGACAGCGGGAAAACAGCTTTTCACAAGGGAACTTTACTCCAAACAGAGTGCTGTATCACATGATTCGCATGCGACTCAGACGCGCGCGTTCAGTCCTCATTGCCTCGTCAAAACTGAGACGTTGTGGTTAATCTAAGGAACCGCGTTAAACAGCGGACTAGATGTGATGTGTTTATCGTCCCATTCTAGCCCACTATGTGGCACTGGCTGCTTTCGCCTTCGCAATCGCCTCCAGCTCCGCAAAAGTGCCGCTTTTGAGGCACATCCCGCGGAAAACACCGTCAGGTTTTTGCATCAACTTTGACGGGGTGTCGAATTCGACGACGCGTCCATTATCGAGGACGAGCAGCCGGTCGTAGTCGATGATGGTCTTGAGCCGGTGGGCGACGGTGATGAGCAGCGCGCCGCCAAACTCGGACCGGATCGTCTCCTGCATCTTGGCGTCTGTGGCGAAGTCGACGCTGCTCGTGGCCTCGTCCATGATCACGATCGCGCTCTGGCGCAGCAGTGCCCGGGCCATGGCGATCAGTTGTCTCTGCCCCGAGGAGAAGTTGGACCCCCCAGCCGAGACCGCCGTGTCGAGCGCCAGTGCCGGCGACGACGACGGCGGCGGCGGCACAGCTGTTTTGAAGCCCGAGTCGTCTCCGATCAGGTGCACCCGGCGCAGCGCATCGAGGCACACGCTGTCCTCGAGCTCCCCAAACGGATCCAGGTTGTCGCGCAACGTCCCAGAAAACAGCGTCGCGTCCTGGGGGATGAACACAACACGTGACCGGAGGTCGTGCAGACCGATCGTCGAGGTGTCGATCCCGTCAATCAAGATCCGCCCTGCGTCGCTGTCGGCCAAGGCGGAAGCATGGGAGAGACATAGAACTAACCGCTCGAAGGATCCACGAATCTCAGCAGACTCATCGCAAGTGTGCTCTTCCCGCTCCCCGTCCTGCCAACCAGCCCGATGCGTTCACCGGCCCTGAACTCAAACGACACGTCCTTCAGAACCGCAGGCAGCTCTGCACTGTATCTGACTTCCACGTTCTCAGCCACGACCAATGCATTCTTCGTGGTGCTCGAGGGCCAGTATGCGGGCGGCCGGGTCGCTTCAATGACCGCAGTCGGTTCCTGCGGCAAATCCATGTACTCGATGATCCGTTCGACGGAACTTGGAACAGATCAGAAATCATGTTAGACCACAACGACGCGTTGGACACGCACTTGAGGTCAAGCTCGAGCATCGTCCAGAAGCGGCATGCCCAGTATACGCTTTGCGTAAAGTTCAAAGCAGACTGAACGTGTGGTGTCGTTAATCAGTGCGGCAGCCTGTACGATCGACGAACGGTGATAGCAAGTCCAGCCAGTCCAGCATCGTTATCGAGCATCGCAATCGCAAACAACGAGGTCGTGAACACAGCGTCAGTGGACGTCAGAACTTGAAATACGGGATCACGGCCACTGGACGTACAATGCTACCTGCAAGTGTTGTCAGAGTTGAACGCGTTGTCGGATGTTGAATCACGAATGGCAAACCACGCACCGAGGAAATCGAAATTCAGGAGCAACCATCGGTTCGTCATCCTGAGCCATTTCGAGTGAAACTCCCACCGTGACAGAGGAGCTGCACCCACCAGAACGCATACCACACCTCCGTCATCTTATCGACCTGCGCATGCAGACTATCCATAAACCTCTCCTCTGCCGAGAACGCTGAAGAGAGGCGAGTCAGAATCAGAAAAAAACAGTCGACGACACCCCCAGCCAACCCACCTCGCACAGTCACGATCCCGCTCAACACCTCGCCAAAGTTGGAGAAGATCGGCGAGCGGTAGTTCGCCTGGATCCGACGCAGATCCCGGCCCGTGTTGATGTACCCGACAGCGAGCCGCTGGTACAGATACGCGATGACGACCGCGGGCAGGATGTACGGCGGGAACACGACCCTGGGAAGCACGGCATGAGGTGGTATGTGGCGCGACGACTCGGTGTGTGCTCACGCGACAGTGATGACGGCGACGATGAACCCCGACAACGACGAGTTCACCGCCTGCAGGGATCCCGCCAGGCGTGTATCGATAGCCGCAAAGTCGTTGCTGAATCGATTCAGCATCCGTCCTGATTTCCGATTGTCAGTGACGTCCAGAGAGCATCCAGTTGGGAAGAGACCTTGTGGTGTGGTATCATGGAACCGGAACGTCGCGCGCACCACCTGGACTAAAAGTCGCCTATAAATGCCAATCATTCGATCAATCCAACCAACCCGAGACGCGCAAGGGATGGGATGGAACCCACTCGAAGAGGACTCTCGATGCAGTCAAGGCAGCGGACAGCTGGAGCGCTATGGTCGACACCTGCAGCACAATCCCACACAGGCCGATGGCTGCGTAGATCGCAATGTAGAAAAACGGGCTCGCCGATGCGTTCGGCAGGGTCTGCGCTGCTCCGATCGACCGTGTGAGAATGATGTGTTGTTGTTCTCCGGGTGCTTGGAGCACGAAAGTGCTCGCGGGCAACTCCGAAGGTCCACCATACGCATCGGCCCAGATCTTGATCCACAGCTTCTCGCTCACACCACTGAGCTGCTGCAAGATGACCAGAACAGCAAGGATGATCCAGTTCGAGTATCTCGACGCGGCGAGGTATTCCTGGTACACCGACCATTTGACGCTCCCCGTTTCTAATGTAGTCAGAGATACAGCATACGAGGTAGTTGCCACAGCATACCGCGCTTTTCGTCCTCTACAAGCTTCCGAGGCTTCTTGGCAGGTTCTTCGCCAGGGGCTGCGTCCGGGGCTTCTGCCGAGACTTCGTCTTCGTGCTCGGCAACTTCAACAGCTTCTTCATCTTCGATCTCCTGCAGCACTCCCTGCGAGCGTAGGTCCTGCACGGTGCCTTGCACGTCGATCCGCCCATCGAGCATCCGCACCAGGTAATGGGCACCTGGTGCAACGAGATCGACATGATGAGTGACTAGAATCTGAGCATGGCGATGACTTTTGATTTTCTTCTGCGGCGAGGATGAACGCACCACAGTCCGGTTGGCGAGCAGTGGCCCCAGCAGACAGTTCTCGTACAAGAAGCGAGCGGTGTGACTGTCCTGAAACCGTTGTCAACAAGCAACGAAGCTGCCAGCTGATGTTCACTCACGACGGCACTGAGCGGATCGTCGAGAAGAACATACTTCTTGCGCGAATACACCACTCGCGCAAGTGCCACTCTTCGAGATCCTCAACAAACGATATCAAAGCGCGTCTTGCACCACGAACCTGGCTTTCTGGCCCCCAGAAAGAGAGACGCCCTTCAGCCCGATCTCGGTCTCGTCCCCGTCCTCGAGCATGTCAAAGTCGGGCTGCAGCGCACAGCAGTGCACAACTTGTTTGTACCGCCCCTCGTCCATGGGGGATCCGAAGAGGATGTTGTCTCGGATTGTCTGTCACACAACACACTGAGCACGCGGCGAGACCAAGCTTCAGCGAGGAAGAAACCGAACCCGATGCTGAAGCCACGGAGCCTGGGCGGCATACGCGATGCCATGCACGAACCCGTGCTCGTCCACCGCCGAGCTCTTCGAGAGCACCACTTTCCCGCCCGGGAGAAGCGTCATTTCGCCCATCAGCGCCATCTGAACAGACGGTCAGAACGTGTGCACGGATCCCGATCGTTGGGACCGACAAGTAACGCTGTTTTCCCGCTGGCAGTTGGCCCAGTGACGACTGTCAACTTGCCCTCAGGGAACCTGACGGTGACGTCGCTGAGCTCGAACTTCCGAGCGGCGCTGTCACCAACGACGGTATGCAAGTCCGTGACACTAGATGCCGCTGACTGGATCGGCGTCGTTTCCGATTCGACGCTGTTCCATTGCAGAGTAGCGCCAACCAGTCCGAGGCCTGTTTCCCCATCGGTAGGCTCCGATCCGTGTTTGAGCGAGGATACTTGCTCGGACACCTCGTCTTCTTGCAGATAAACAGCGATACGGTTCAGAGCCACGCCAGCTTGTACGAATTGGACAATTTGGGATGGGAAAGCTGCAAATGATCAATACGCCACGTGACTCGAGAGAGAGTTGATTAAATTTACTGACCGTTCAAAGGCTGGCGGATCATCGTGAAGAGGGCTATGGCCGTGAAAGCCTTTCCGGCTGTCAACTCGTTCCCAATCCAGACGTATACCAAGAAAGACGTCAGGGAAAGCGAAACGGGGACGAAAATCCATAGTCTGTGCGCCCGTTTCAGTACGTAGACTGATTGAGAAAGCTAGTGGCCGCACCCGCTAAAGAAAACCGAGTTCATCCGGGCTATGCTTGCGTTGAGGCCAGTAAGATATCGAGATAGACAGCAACCCACTCTTGGCCAGCCACCGCAGCTCTTCTGCTCTCGCCGATAGAACGCGGCCGATCCACTGTTCCTCCCACGCGAAAAATTTGATGAACTTGACGCTCCCGATGAGCTCGTCGACCACCGCCATCCGCTTGTCCGTCGCCTTCGAACGCTCTTGTCCGATCTTGTACCCTTGCTTGGTCAGATAGTCACTGAGCGGCCAGCAGGCGAAGAACGCCGCAAAACCCGTGAAGGCACTCCATCCCTGCAGGAAGTTGCTTAGGAGGGTAACCCAGTGGACTGAAGAATCGACATACGAGAGTCTGGTACAGCAGGTAGGCGCCAATCGCGATTTGGAAAGGCGCGGTGTACAAGATGAAGCATATCTGACGATTGTTCCAACGGTGTGCAGCAAACGAGCTTGACGCAACTTACAGAGACATAGAGCGAGATATTCTCCGCGTCGTTGGCCATCATGTTGTTGATCTTGCCGGTATCTGGATTTCACGCATGAGATACATTGAGGGGTGCGTGGCTACACAACGCACCGGAGGCCGACTTTGTCGCACCCTCTTGCTCTTTTGAATCCGAGTTGATCAGTGCGCTGTAGTCTTTTCGTTTCAGGGCCTTGTCGTAGATCGCGGCCATGAGCTGCGAGCGGATCCGAAGCACGGCCCGTCTGCAGAACCCTGCAGTGACTATGGTAAGTATGTGTTTCCGGTCGCGAAAGACTACTACAGACAGAGATTGTTGAGGCTGGCTTGGGACTACAAACGTCGGCTCGAGACGTGAAAGCAGACAAGCGCGCTTACCTTGAGCAACGAGGCGAGGAACATAGCTCCAGCATAGACGTATGCAGTGCCTCTGTCTTCTCTGCTCACATCAGGTTGATCCAGGAGATCCAGGAGACGCCTGGCGGTGTGAGACTGAAGCTACAAGACGAAGATTATGCTTACTTGAGGAAGAAAGGGCCGGCATACTCGAGCACAACAGCGATCCACGTCCCTATTCCATCCAACAACAGATCTTGAGAGTTGGCGATGAAGAGACGAAGGAGAAGGGATGCTCCGCTGGAACTTTTGGTCAACTACAGCCGCCGACTTTCCAATAAGACACATACGGTGGCAGAGTCTGGAACTTGATGAAAACAGGTCGTGACTGCATCGTTGGGCTCAGTCCCCACACGTCAGACTCTTGCAGGGTTCCTTTCGTTCCCTACTCGACTCTAGTCGATGTTCCACTACGTGCAAACACCAGCTTACCACTTTGATGAGGGGATAAACCCAATCGAAGGTGATCCATTGCCAAAGAGTAGTGTAATCTTCGGGGGACACGCTCCGGCCCTTCACGCATTGTCAGACCGGTATTCAGAAGAGACATCAGGGAGAACACAACATACGATTTCTCCTTCGTCGACGCGCTCTGATGGCACGTTATTGGGCATTTGCACCACCACCACCAACAGCACGAAGATGATGACCAAGTTCACTGACAGACCAACAAGGACCAGTGTCCTCGGCAACGGTGCGACTCCAACTACATATTCAAAGAGCAAGCCCCCGAGCAGGAGCAGACCGCCCGCTGCATGCAGAACATACAGCGTGAACAAATCATATGGCACAGTAGCTGGCGGAGCGGCGATCGGGCGGGCCGTCGCATACACCCAAGACACTGCCGTGAGATACAAGTGCGCCGCAGCTGGTTCCGTGAGGAGCGATTTCGACTGGGAGCGCAATAAGCAGATAGCCGCCGCGGCGACCCACCCCAGACTCTCAACCAGCCCACCAAACGCCAAAATCATCGACCGCCAGACCACCACTCTCTTCCGGCGTCGATTGGCCTGCTCTCCGCGGCCGGGAGTGACTTCCCCCTTCGTATTCGCAGCATTGACAAGCGCTTCAGACTCTTCCAACGTCAGGAATGTGAAAAACAAGCCGTTGAAGCGTGAAGGAAAGCGCCAGGACCGGAGCGGCGAGCGCTTCGAGCCGGCGGACACGACAAGGACGACGACGAACAAGGGCGTCAGTGTGGCCCACGATTGACGCACACAGGCGTCGCCTAGATCAAACGCCCCGGGCGTTCCACAGGGCCACATGATGGAGGAGAACGAGCAGCTGACGCGCGACGAGATACGATGCAAACTTAAAACTGCCTAAAAGTAATCCCGGGGTTAGGCGCGGCGTGACATAGATAGCGAGATCGGAGGAATCTCTCAGACTTCAGGCTGCCGTTGACAAAGGTTCGGGGCAGATAAACCGCATCGCCATGCGATTTGTGTCTTGATAAGTATGGAATATAGGAGCCGAACAGACCGGAGTAAAGATGTGTAAAGATGAGCAAATGGCCGTCGATCCAAAAGCGAAAGACGGTTCGTTAGCGGTTCATTCGCGACTATAACGGCATCGCATACGCCGCGTCTTGTTCTTACGCTGTGCAGTTGTCCGCTTGAAAACCTGTGCACCATTCGAAGGCTCCGCCCTGTCAGCGCCCACTGACTCGACATGGCATGCGATGGCTGAATCCGAGTCAATCTAGACCATAAATACTCTCCCCCCTCCCAACCACATCGACGCAACCATGGCCGCGTTCCAACGCCCCGTCATGCCCGAGGACTCGGTGCTAGTCTCGACATTGCACGAGCTGGCCAACAAGCAGAGCGGAAGGTCCAAGCTCGTCAAATCGTCTGTGTACGACGCACCCGCAGATCCCGAGATCAAGGTGCATAGCTGGAAGATGGACGAATACCGGTACTACGATGTCCCGTCGCCGTTCCCGACCCTTGCGCGAGGATTGTTCACGGTCACGCTGCCGAGCGTGGGCAAGGATGGAAAGAACGCCCACCTGATTGTTGCGCGCGGGTACGATAAGTTCTTCAATATCGGGGAGGTTCCTTGGACGACGGTGCGCGATCCGACGCGTCTTTCTATATAGATATCTCACAGAGTCTAGTGGCCGTCGTTGGAGGCACACACCGCCGGACCGTACACAGCTTCTCTCAAAAGTAATGGATGCATCATCTTCATCGCTGCTTTGACGCCAGATAAACTCATCATCACATCGAAACACTCCATCGGACCCGTCGTCGGACAAAATACCAGTCACGCTGAAGCTGGAGAGGGGTGGCTTCGCAAATATCTCGATGAGAAGGGAAAGACAGAGGCTGACTTCGCGAAGAGACTTTGGGATAACAACTGGACTGCCATCGCTGAGGTGTGTAATCGCGTGTGTGCTTGCCAATCCGATCTTATCCAGGATGTAGCTCTGCGACGACTCGTTCGAAGAGCATGTCCTCGGGTACTCACCCGAGAAAACCGGCCTCCACCTGCACGGACTGAACACCTCAACCTCAGTTTTCCATACTCTCCCTCACTCTGTGATCGACGCGTTCGCCGATGAGTGGGGCTTCATCCGCACCCCGTCACTGGAGTTTCCTACTCTCGCAGCCGTCCGCGCCTTCACTGACGGGGTCTCTGCTGCCGGCCACTGGGAGGGCGAGCCTGTTGAAGGTTTCGTCGTACGCACACACGTCACATCGAAACCCGGAGACGCACCCTACGCTCCTGGCTCGACATTCTTCTTCAAAATCAAATTCGATGAGCCGTACATGATGTACCGCGACTGGAGGGAGCTCACGAAATCGCTTTTGACTGCGCATGATAAAGGGCTGTCTGGCAAAGGGGCAGGAATGAGCGAGGGGGCGCTGTCAAAGGGCAAGATGCGTAGGCCGGAGAGCAAAGTCTATGTTCGATGGGTCATGAAGGAGATCGTACGCGACCCGGAGACATTTGCCCAGTACGGGAAAAACAAGGGCATTATCGCAACGAGGGACAAGTTCATGGTCTATCTGGCTTCAGAAGAGGGCCAACAGCAGTTGGCACTCGCTAAAGAGAACAGGCTGCCACCTGCCACGACAGCGAATACAGCTAGCCCTAGTGCTCAGTTTGGCAAGACTGTCATCGTGCCAGTTGCGATCCCCGGTAGCGGTATGTTTTAATTGTGCTGATGGTCCCATCATTCACAAATTACAGGCAAGACAGCAGTTGCAGTCGCCCTGACGCATATCTTTGGGTTCGGTCACACTCAAAGTGACGACGTCAAGGCGAAAAAAGCTGCACCCATCTTCTTGAAAAACGTTAATGCGCTATTGACAACTCATGACGTTGTAATCGCCGACAAGTGAGCGTTCAACCCGATCTATTCATATCCCTAACATCGCGAAAGAAACAATCATCTCAAACAGCACCGAGCTCAGCTACGTCAAGCTGTAGCCGGTCGAAACCCTCCGGTCCGCCTACTTGCTCTCAATTGGGCTCTAAATGCAAACGGCATGACACCTGCCGACGCACATCGCATTTGCAGCTCTCGTATCACGAAACGCGGAGAAAATCATCAGACGCTTCGACCGGACGAAACGGGCGACGCAAAAGCCAACCACGGGCATGTAGTCTCCATGTTCATCAAGCAGACAGATGCCCTTGTGTCAGAAGAGGTGGACGGGATCATTGAAATGTCGATCGATGAAGGCATGGACGCTTCCATCCGCCGCGCTGTCGATGGCGTTGTCCGGGAGCTGGAGCTGCTGGAACCTACAGAACAAAAGATCCAGGAGGGAATCCAGGCTGCGCGTGATTATGTTGTCGCTGCCTCCGAGGAACCCCAGGCCAAAAAGTCAGCGAAGGCCGACAGCAAGAAGGGCAAAGAGAAGGCTAAGGAACAGGCTGTTCCTACTGTCAAGAAGCCCAAACCTCCACGCTACTATGGGCTTGTTCCTGATTTCTCTTTTGACTCCCTCGTTGGATCGGTTTCTTCCGACTCCAAGGCTGCTGAATTCCTCACTTTGCTACGAGAGAAAGAACGGATCACAGCTCGACCTCACGTGACTGTCGTCCACTCGAAGGCGTTGAGCGAGCCTGGGGCACAAGATCTCTGGGGCCGATGTGCACGGCTCGATCTTGGCCCTGAAAAAGATCAAGCCGTCTTCACCTGCAAGCTCAACACTCTTCTTTGGGATGGAAGGGTGATGGCCGTCGTAGTTGACGATCTGAAGCTCGATAAGGAAGGACGAGAAGGACAGGTTGGTGCCGAGTTCGTGTCGATGCTTGGAGAACGTGTTCGCAGTAGACTGCACCTCACAGTCGGGACCAAAGATCCCAGCATCCAGCCAGTCGAAGCAAAAGCAATGGTCGAGTCGTGGCGAGCAGGCAAGACAGGAATCAAAACCCTCCAGCTCGATGAAAAAACTGTCCAAGCAAGAGTGAAGGGACTCTTCAGCTAAAAAACTGGGTAGACAATCTGACAATGGACGAATATCGTATTCTGTACATAGCCGTGACACAGTTGTTGTAACAAAACTGTAATCAGTTTCCGGAACTGAGCGTCAGACGCCTATAAGTACATGGCCGGAGACATATGTACAACATTTACCCTAGATATCCAAATCCCTAAAATCAATGTTCTATACAACCCAGATGAAAAATGTCCAAATTGAGCGAGCGTCCTGAATTACGAAGCACCCTGAGCACCAAGAAACATCGACACGTCTCGGGCCACAAAGTCATAGACATGGCTGGTTGGATGCAAGCTATCCACCCAGATAGAGCTTTCAGAGTTCTGAACATCGTCAACCTCGAAGCCGTGACCAACGGGGTCATCGAGCAGCGCGTTGAACGTGTCCCAAGCAGAGTAGATGAATACAGTCGCATCAGGATGGGCCTTTGCGAATCGTGGCACGGCGTTATACAACTCCGTATTCCAGGCAACGTAGTTTCGTCGTCTGATTTTGGCTGTGGACAGAGTTCACTGAAGATCTTAATGATAGGATAAAGGTACCTGGAGATCGATCCATCGGTGGCACATTGATGAAAAGGAAATTTCGGGCGCCTAATAATAGGTTCCATGGGTTGACGTCAAACAAGACGGGACAGGGGAGAGCACAGACCTGAAGCGTATAACGTCTCCTGAGCGTGGAGCAACTTCTCCCACAAGTCGATGCAGGTTTCCTCCGGTTCACGAACGTAAGAGAAAGCTGAATCGTTGATTCCAACCCATGTCACTAGTCTCAGGTCAATACCACACACGATCCACTCCGCCACGAAATGTCTGCCATCTGATATCCAGACTCACCGAAAAGGGAATTGTTGCCATCCCAGGGCGCCCAGGCAGGTCTCTCAGCGATATGCCTCACGAAAGAACTCTCGATCTGCCTCTTGACATCATACACCTTCGACGCACCCTCAGCGTAATCGTACACCAGCAGCTGGTGTTCGCCAAGCGCGTAGTTGGTCACTAGATGGCCGATCCAGTTCGGCTCGCCTTGCTCCGCGTATGTCACGCCTGGGAACTCCACTCCCAAAGGCTCGTCGTCACTTGGGATAGGGCATCCGACTCGATGTCGGAAACCAACGTCCGAGTATGAGTCTCCGCTGTAAGCGAGATTAGTTGACGGTTGCCACTTCCATTCACAGCTCGCGCACAAGACAATGAGGAATTGGAGCTCCTTGTATCCACACCAACTGGTCCCCCGCTGTACAGCGGTCGAAGGGAAACTCGGACGCAAGTCTGAATTCATTGATGCCGTCTGCGGGGGTGAGGTAAATCAGGGAGGGTGGCTGTCCGTGCAAGCTGTCAATCAATAAATGAGCGATCTCCTTTTCCTTTTCCGCTGAGTTCGAAAAATCTTTCCCCGTGCCGTTTGCAGAGAAAGATTTGGTCTGTTTATCCAAGCGGAGCACCCACTATTCATGTTTTTCGATCTCAACGTACCGGTCACACACGCGACACAACTGACTCACGCATCCTCGAAGAAGAATAAAGGCAAACAGCCTCAGCAATTGAGCGATGTATCGTATTCTCCAGCTCAGATATCTTCCATAGAGGAACGGGTAGATCTGTTGGTACATCGTGTGTACCTCGTTACTGTGGCTGTCTGGTTATGCATTGACTCGATTAGTGGGATACACGGTTATTGCCTTCAATCAGACTGTGCTAAGTGCCGTTGTGCCCAAGACACACGTCAATACTATGGACAGTCTTGTTTCTAGCCTCAAGAAACGCACTGGAGTTGTGTTCCTCAAACGCCTGACGATCATATTGGACCAGGACAGCGAGAAAGGGTTCGGATTGGTTAGTTGGTCCTCAATCCACAGCATGTATCGTTCATCGGGGCACAGATACCCACAAATGCGCCGCTCTTCAAATCATACGACCTCATCGCGCTGGTTCCAACTAATCAAGCGACCTTTTCACTTGCGTGCCTCACACACAGCCTACCCTCCGCGCTGACGGCGCACATCATCTGCCTACCGCTCACGCTACGGCTTGACTTCCGGATGAAGCACACGCTTGTGCGCACCGCAATCAAGCATGGCGCGGTATTTGAGATCAACTACGTCGGGGCACTGGGTGGCGAGCACGAGCCAATCGTCTCCGAGGCAGGGTACGCTGAGACTGGCCCTCAGGCGAAACGCAACTGGTGGGCGACGGCCAAGGAGATCGTACGCGTCTCCAAAGGGAAGGGGATCGTTGTCAGTGGTGGAGTTGTGGCCGAGGCCGATCTGCGTGCTCCGAGAGATGTTGCGAACCTGTGCGGGCAGCTTGGGCATCGACTTATCTCGCTCATCTCATAGATCATAGGATCACTCTCCTGGACATGCCTCAAGACGCCGCCCATAGCGCGTGCACCAAGTCTCCCAAGTCCCTCGTACTACGCGCCCGTTCGTCACCATTTACCCTGTCTGGAATCTGTTACGAATGACTCTTGTTGACAGAAACGCGGCAGACATATCGGGCCGTCTTTAGCGAACCCGTCCTGGTCGTACCAGAAGGTTTCAGCGCACCGGAAGTTGCGATGGAAGAGAGCCCAGGAGAGCCTCAAAACAAGAACGAGAAGAAACGACCACGCGAAGACGATGCCGTCATGCCTAATCTTGCAGCCGGTGCCTCGACGGTGCCAGAAAGCAACGCGGCTCGCAAGAAAAAGAAGAGGAAACAGAGTAATCCGGCTGCAGCCAAGTAACAGTAGAACTGCCATACCGATACATACATTGCGCTTACGGGTCACCTGCTGGAGCTCACTGTCGACCGACTGGGTTGGATATCACCCGAGTGAATATTGTGCATCTCCGATTCGAGTGTTTACTTGAAATAGTTGGAGCGAAATTGATTCTCGCAGTCCGTAAACATCAGATAATCGACCGGATGTTCACTATTCTATCAAGCTCAAGCTCTCTTCTCATCTGGCAAAAGCTGATGGGAAGTGAGAACCTGTCCGGAACCGGCTCGCTAGCACGACTGACCTTGCCAGGATTCATGATGTCATCTGGGTCGATGGCTTTCTTGACTTTCCTCATGAGGGCCACGGTGCCTTCCCCAAGCTCCTCAGTCAGATACTCCTTTTTCCCAACCCCGACACCATGTTCTCCGGTGCCTTGCGAGAAAGCTTCAGCGTACAACTCCTTCAAGAGCGATGGGCTCACAAGTTCCGTCCAGATCTAACGCAAGGTGGACCAGGCGGTGCACTGCGTCACCTACCTTTTCCAACTCCTTGTCGTCTTCAAACAGAATCAGCGCATGGAAGTTTCCGTCTCCGACATGTCCAACAATCGTGCTGCGAAGCCCAGCATTTGCTAGATCTCTCTTGCTTTCGAGGACGAGTCGTGGAAGATTCGAGACGGGAACGCTGATTCGCTCTTCTTCAATTATCTTTCGTGCCGAGATAAATCGACCACAAACCAGACATCAGTCGTCCAGCACTTGCTTCCGGGATATGCAGCCAGTGTTGACATGAGAGCATACTTGCGATTCTGCCAAAGGCTATCCGCTTCAGCGTCGGTCGCTGCAAACTCGAATTTGCTGCTGCCGTGTTTTTTAACGATCGCTTGGATGGTCTTCGAAGTAAGTTTGATGGCAGCATCGTCCCCTTGCAGCTTGAGAAAGAGAGTGTCCGTGACGGGATATGGCTTGTCAACGAGGCCACCTTTGTTGATAGCATCCATCACTGGAGAGTATCGATCTCAGCCGCAGTCCGCCGCAAGCCAGCGATGTCTTACTATGATTGTCCAAAAGCTCGACACACTCTGTCCGACCATGGCGCATTGAGCATGTGGGCAACGCTCAGCTCTGTCACTCACGAACGTGGGATCCGTAGGCAGAATTGAGGATCTCTTGAACCGCATTCACAGCCTTGCCCACGTCTGGGAATTGGGCCATAGCCACTTTCGTCGGGAGGGCAGGAGCCAGTCGTAATGTCGCCTCCGTAACAATTCCGAGTGTCCCTTCAGCCCCAATAAAAAGCTTTGTCGTATCCCAGCCAGCAGACGATTTGCGACTTCTTCTGCGAGTTTTGATCACTTCTCCGTTAGGAATCACGACCGTCTGCACAAGAGTTCAGCCGATTTCTCAAGGAGACAGGAGACGGAGTTACGAGATTCAGGAACCATTCAGCCTTAGCTGTGCTAGATAAGGCCGCTCAGTTGATGCTGCTTAGTCTGGATAGAGAACACGCAGACCCGTATCTGACTGCGTTAGCTGCGGGAACTTCAATAAGAGGTCGAGAACGAACACATCACAACTCACTGCCGCTGCATCCGGTTCCCACCATGCCTCCGATGGTCTGAACTCATTAAACGTCATGGATGTGTAGCTTGTACGATCAACCCACAGCACCAGGACCCGGATCGAGCTTCCAGGTATTATTACTCCATCCGATAGACCAAACAAATGAACGCACGGGAAAGAACAGCGGGATACCCTTCTCCTTGAGTGTTTGGTTGATATCTTCCCAGCGGGCTCCAGCTTGACATATCAAATCGGAATCATCCACTTGAAGAAGTGACGTTGGTGACTAGTCCAGACCGGAACGAAAATCCTTCACCATTGATTTGGAGAATCTGGTCCATTCCGGACATATCCAAACAGATGCTGCCGCTAGGGTGCTGGGTCATCGTTGTATAATACTCAAGAACATAACAACTGAGCTCACACCAGAGAAATGTCCCTCGAGACTTGTCGCCCCCGAAGACGGTATGATTGGAACCTATGAAATAGCTTCACGACTAGTACCTAGAGTTTCAGTTCACGTACCTTGAACTTGCGCGCGATCTTGACGACCTTGACGACATCCTCCGTGGATTGCGGTCGGACGAGAACTGAATGAGGAGCGGCAGGATGGTACGAATTGTCAGATGATCCTGCGCTCTTCAACACTTCGGGGTTCGTGTCTACCCTCCCCTCTTCCGGGAATGCCTGTTGAAGCGATATGATGGCGAGCTTAAGTTCGTGTGGTGACGCGTATTTCGCAACATCAGACTGGATGGAAGGCTAGCGATCCCAATGAGATTAACAAGAGTAACACATGACCGGATGCGGAATCGGAACGCACGAACAGCTCGGAGTCGATATAGTTGGTCGCGGCCACGATGAGCAATGCGTACAACAGACTCTGGATCATGACTCTCCCCTGCATCCCACCAACAAATTGACTAGACCAGGGCGAGTACGCGAACCAGGCAGGGGGGTCGAATGCCGCAGTGTCGTACTTCATAGAGTCGGAGGCAGCGGGCTTCGCTCGCACCCGTGGGGCTGAATCGAAACTACTTCTCAGTTGCGGCGGCGGTGCCTTGTCGCTCGCCCATCTTCGAGGACATGGCACAGAGGAATTCAGAGGACGAGAGATCCGCTGCCGAGCGAGTCGGGCGAGCATGCAGTCTGGCTGTGGAAAAGTAGACCGAAGCGAGAGCCAGCATCGTGACTTAAGTGACAGACGCGTCTTCGCCATTTGCCATCACCTGCACGCCATAGCGCGCTGTCCGCGGCGACTTTGGGTTCTAATCCGGATCCCGCCACTCCGCTCGTCGCACACAACACGATGCATAAACTCAATCACCACGTCCACACACCCGTTATCGTCATCGTGCTCGCATTAGTCCTGACCCTGACAAGTCTGGTATCTATCCTCGTACACTTGCACACGTCAAGACTACATCAACCTATCCACACAATGCCTGGAAGATGGACAGAAGTCAGACAAAGCCTCGGCCTACCTCCTATTACAAGATATACATCATCCATATCAGCACCCACTCGCTTCGATCCCCGGGTTAGAAGGGAACTTTCACAACGAACACTACCTCCAAGAATGTATTTTGCTGACGAGACATCGGAGCAGACAGCAGACGACGCCCACAATATTTGAGTAGACTATGTTCGATTCAATACTCGTACAAACTATCACACATGTACTACTGCTACTTGACCCATGATTAGCATAAAACCAGTCTTGGGACCTAAGAATAAGCAGTCAGTCTCAAGTCATGATCGTTGAACAACAGAAGGAGGATCAGACATCCAAAGGAAGGTCGTTAGACTCTCATCGTGCCAACTCCGAACCTGCCAGCGTACCGCAAGGCAGCCCACAGCTCGACCAACGCCTTTTGGGTTCAACGTGGTATGGAGGGGGAATATAAACAGGACGGAGCACAACTGACACTTAAGTGGAAACTGCGAATGTTCGGAATGTTTCATCATGGAAAGGGAGGAGTGGAGGGGGAAAAAACGATAGATGAACACTCACAAGAGCATAGAAAACAAATGGCCCGAGAAGAGGACGGAAGCCAGGCGGGGGAACACTGAATAGGAATGCAGTTAGCATAGGGCTCGAAATCGCGAAGATATAAGCAGGAGATCAGACGAAATGGCACTGGCAAGTACACTGTGTGCCCCGAAGGACACGAGTCTGTTGCGAACAGACGTCTCTGTGTCTCGGCATGGTCGTGTAAGACGGGGAAGAGAATAAAGTCATCACATGAAAGGAGGGAAGAGATCGAGAGGAGATGAGGTACTTACAGTGGAAGAAGGACGCAATGATCCTACATTTTCGAGACAAAAATTTATAGTGATGTAGTGTTTGGCCCAGTTATGATCGAGTTACACGGTCACGTGAAGAGCCCGAAGCCTTGCGCGTGATGACTGCCGCGGCGCTGTAACTCATGCCTGATCAGCTTTGCGACTCTAATATGCTTGAAGATAGCCAAGTAGGCTGCAAGAAATAACTCACACCGATGGTTCCCATATTCTTCCTCGGTGTCTTGCGGACTCAGCTCATCCGCCAGATCTCGTCCACCTTTGCTCAAGCACTTCGAGTCAATTGACTGCAACATTCCCTTACATCCTGAGACACCTCATCCGACCACAGCCTGTGATTCATCCTCAAAGTACTCTATGAAATCGGCCAGTTTCACGTGTGCGAAATGGGCTATTTGTATCCTCGGCACAGTGGTGCCGAGAACTTGGGGGTCGGAACAGCCAAGGCGCAGTAAACCGAGCACACTCTTCCACGCATCTTGCCATTGCTCTAATGGACTCTTATGCGGAATCTCCAGTCCAAGCTAGCAAGGACTTCCGGGTGGCCATTATCGGCGGTGGGATGTGTGGGCTAGCCTGTGCCGTCGGTTTGGCGCGCGCAGGCATCCATGCCGATCTATTTGAAGCTACTGTGCGTAGAGACTCTGTGCCGATGGGAGTAAAATTCGTCTCACTGCTTTTAGGCCAAGTTCGAAGAAGTCGGGGCTGGTGTCGGTCTCGGTTCGTGCTCTCTTCTACCCGGCTTTCAAACCCACTTCTGAGGTCCTGGCAGGACCAAATGCCTTGCGAGCTCTGGATGACCTTGGGATTCTCAGCTCAATCATGAATCTCCTCGAAGCATCTGAGCACACGGATCGTAGGATGCTGTTCGTTTCTGGCCCTGGCGACCATCAAGTGCTGTACGACTACCGGGATAGCGTGCGTAATCGCCCGTTGACAAGACTTGAGACTGGAAACTATTACAGCCTGACTGCGGAGCTCAGGATGGAGGTGTTGGCATTTACAGGTCTGTCTGAATTCACGCGCATGTCAAATTAAACAGCTCAACATATTCAGGCCGACATTTCTTGACGCGGTGTTGCCTTTAATTCCTGATCCCAGCCACATGCATTTCAAGAAACGGCTCACATCCATCTCCACAATCCCTGGAACATCCGCCTACGCTATCCACTTCTCGGACGGCACTACACACGAAGCTGATCTGGTTATTGGAGCAGACGGCATCCACAGTTCATCCAGGACCTTCGTGACTGGGAAAGATAACAAGGAAGCGCTCGAATTCACAAATACGGTTGCATATCGAGCAGTTGTTCCCTGGGATGTCTTGAAAGGAGCCGGCGTGAGAACAGATCTGATCAGCCGCACGTTCAACTTCGTGGGCATTGGCAAGGTAGGTCAAGGCCAGCTCCGACACGTGTGTTGTGGGATCGCTGAAACCCGTGTAAGCACATCATCGCTTTCCCCATCCAAAAGCGCACAAAGGTAGACACGCCTTTATCGGACTGCCCTCGTCTCAACTGCTTATGTAGATCAACGTCGTGGCTTTTGTTACCGAAACTGGCGTTCCGGTCGGATCTGTCCAAGTCGCCGGATCGTGGGTTCAGCGGGTGCCTCAGCAAGAGCTCGTCGACCAATATGCAGACTGGGGCCCTGACGTGCAGACGATCGTCCAACACATGGAGAAGCCGAGCAAATGGTTCATCCATCATTTGAAACCGCTGGACAGATACTCGCGAGACAGAGTCGTCCTGGTCGGAGATGCAGTATGCGTCCCTTCTTCGGCTATTCTGGGCTGATTCGGAAGATTTTCAGGCCCACGCCATGTGTCCGCATCTCGGCTCGGGAGTTGGACAAGGATTCGAGGACGTTTTTCTTCTCTGCAAGTTGCTCGGTCACCCTCAGACGACTCTCTCCAATCTGCAGGTCAGTCAACGAGACTCGGTCATTCAAGCGACATGCTGAAACACGTGACATACAGTCCATTCTGGCTGTTTACGACTGCATCCGTCGACCGCGTGCTGAGATGGTCTGGAATCGAAGTTTTGCAGCCGGACTTCATTATGAGCGCTGCGGGCTTCCCGGGTACCAGAAAAACGACATGCAAAGTCATTTTCAAGGAGTTTTGGGCCCAATCTGGCGACATGACCTCAGAGCGGATGTCACCGCTGCGGTTGCAGAGCTGATCAAGCAGGGGATCTTCACAGAAACGAGTGGGTAGCCCAGGCAGCGCATAGGATTAGGTACCGAGAACAGCGTTGTCTCCATAGGATAGCAACATGTTTTGAAATTGGTGTGCACGAGCCTATGTAATGTATACTCTCTCGGGATCAGTGATGCACCGCAGGACAGCACAGCCCTGCCCCAGGAGGTAACGACCGAGATGATCTTACAAAGACCGAGGGCGTAACTTCGGAGATGCTACCAAGAGGAGTTGGCAAAGCAAAAAAACTATAGGGTTGTGCTTCAAGGGAGCAGCCGTAAGTGCCCCACTTGCGCCGTAAGTCATACGGTGGGGCACTTACGAAAGTTTCGATACGAGCCGTCTGCTGAGCACCGAGCCTCGGGTAAATCGGGTCAGATGTGTATCGCCTCGCGTGAAAACCACGCGAGCACAGGCGAGGACCCTGTAGTTGCGCGACGCACAAAGCCCGATCAAAGATGGTCTCCCAAGATCGAGCCCAATTAAGACGAGAGGCCCGCTCCGGATGCCGCCTGAAAGGAGCCAAGTTCTTGCCAGAGCCCCAGGCAGAGAGAGAGAGAGTATGGTCATGGACCTCTTGTTGCAGAAGGGGGAACTGGGGAAAACGTGGTCGCCCTATTGTTCGAAGAACAAGGCCGGCATTGTTCCTGATGCGGTCACGATCATTTCTCCAGACGTGGGAACCGGTCATCGTCAGTCCTTTGTCCCAAACAGGAAGGAAGCATGCATACAAAAAGGATAGCCCTGCATCCATGGAGACAGCCCCCCCATTATCACGCATTTGCGCCGACGACCGTACCATGCCGTCCTCCGACTCTTCAAGCCTTTCGACTGTACGCTCTTTCTTTCGTGTCTGCGACGCCTTATCTCATCTGCTCTCCAGTACTCCTGTGAAAAGCTGGAACTTATCGCTTCAGACGATTCTTTCGTGCGTCCTTTCGGACTGTTTCTCACGGATCTCCCTAATCGCACCCCCCAGTACTCGTGCGACAAGAGTCGTGGCTCTCATAAGGTCAAGTACCTGCCCGGCGAAAACTGGGATTACCACTTGGATGTCCCGCGACCAGTCGATCTGTCCCTCGTTCTCCCTCATTACCGCGCACGAAACCAACCTATCGACTGCCGCCTGAGCATGTTTGTGGGGAATGAGTCAGCTCCAATGAAGCTCAAACTCGTGCGTGTTCTAGGGCGCCTACTCGCTTCCCTCTCTGACCTTGGTGCCGCAGGTCCGCAGCTGTTATCGTTCTCGATTTGAGCTCGAGGTCCGCACATCGACGTCAGACGTGACCATCTGGGTTCCCTCCGACTTCAAAGGCATCGTCCATTGTCCGAAATCCACGTCCTTTTCTGCCGGCTTCGTAAATCGCATCATGCGCAACGTCCGTCTCAATGACAGACATTCCGGGGATCTCGTCGATGAGGACGAAATCCTCGTCACGACGAAAGGCCACGTCACCTTCCGCATGTGGGATGTGCAAACCAACAGCGCGGAGAACCCCTCCAAAGAGGCTCTGCGACGTCTCTTCTGCTGTTCTAGCAAAGCACCCGAAATAACCACCCACGACTGGGACTTCCTTTTGGAAAACTGATTTCCGCCGTGCGCTGGCGGATCTACTCTTCATCTTTCTTCCGGCCTTCTTGCGTTTTCTTGCGCGCGTCCCATCGACCCGCCTTCGACCTTGTACACCCTTCGTGCATCTTTCGTTTCTTGACCCGATAGCATCCTTTCGCACCCACTCACACTCTCACTCAACCCACTGTAGCACTACCACATACGAATCGTGTTGATCCCCGACCTAGAGCGTCGCCTGTAGCATTACCTACCTACCACACCAGTATTCTTGCTATATTTATAGATCAAACATAGTCTTCCGTACGCTCAAGATACGAATCTCATGAATCAAGTCTATGATTACATTCGCTGCATTGATCAGGCGGGAATTTACATGCACTGCATTGACCAGGTGGGAATAATGGATTCTGTCCTACTTCAGGCGAACTTAAGAGAGCGCAACTGCTCGAGGAGAGCGGGCTGTCTGCATGTGGGGCACACAGACGCTTGCTCCATGGCATGGCGAATGCAGCTGCGGAAGATCGGCTCAGCTCCATGCGGGGGTAATCAATCTTGACTTACCGGGAACAAAAGACATGCCCGCACCGTGTCGCAACGGTCTTCTTCCGCCTGCAAAGACAAATGGGGCATTGCGGTCTGAACACGTTGCCGGCTTTAGGGGTGGTAGTCTGGGTCCGAGATGAGCATCGGAGCGACGAACGGGGGGTCAGCGCTCACGGGTTGTGAAGCAGGCCGAGGCTTCGCTCTGAGATCCTCTGCAGGAAGAGGAATCTCAGAGCCGTACAGAGCATCGTATCGCTCTCGTGCAATCCGATCTTCCCAGTCGTCTGGGAACTCGCGAAGCTCGTCATCTTCGTCATCGCTTTCTCCGTGAACGAGTTCGAGATGCTGCTCCAACTTAGCGGATGCAGAGCCGGTCCAAGAAGGCTCTACATACCACTTGAAACCCCCCGTCAGTCTTGAAGTGTTTCTGGCAGATACGGCAGTAATGGTGTCTGGTGGAGAGAACATAGTGCTAGGGGATGATGCTCAGGAGGTTATCAAGGAGAAGCAGAGGGAGGGACCGACGTTTCGTAGAGAGTTGTTGTTAAGGAAGCGCTTATCGCACTCAGAGCATCTGGGGTGTCTGCTCGAACCTTGGATGTGATCCCTGAGCATGTCAAGGCTGTAGAAGTAGGCGTCGCAGAGAGTGCAGTATTTAACGTCGTACGCAGCGGAAGCCGGAAGCAGGGGAGACGATGCAGCAGACATGGGGGAGATCAGTGTTGGTGTTCAAGTTGAAAGTGAGTGTCAGCGCAGAGAGCTGGGTTCCGTATAAGCAGGGAACGCATAGAAATGGTTGGATCGCTCCACCGGAGATTGGGGCGCCGTCGGGGGCGCTGCAAGTGAGACGTGGCGGGTAACTGAGACATCCGCACAACGGTGAACATTATCGCAAAAGTAAGGCAGTCGGATTGACAGTGGGAAAGACACAAACAGGATTAGAAGTAGATCAAGACACGTTTCTTGCATTCAAGGAGCCAAGTTCGCAAATTGGAATCTAAACGCACGCGTCGACATCATCTAAGGCGGGAAACCATTCCAGACGCGTGTGCACAGCCATACTCTTGATTAACACAGCGACAAGCAACGCGTACACAACACCAAGCACACATGACATCCCGCTTTCTCCGCATAACCATGCCCAAGACGCTCAAAGTCGCAAAAGGGCAGCCGACTCGGCCCATCCGAACCGTCAGCCGAGTTACAAAAGCAGTGGCTGCTCTAGATGTAGCCGCAGACGAGGCTCAATCCCCAGACAAGGGCGAGGGCCCCTCGACTCAAACGGTGCTGCAGTCGATCACTGTTGAATTTCTGGAACGGGACACGATGCACGCTAGTTGGATTGAAGTGCTGAATCCCGAGTTCGAAAAGCCTTACTTTATCAAGGTGTGTGTGCTCCGTCTGCGCAGCACAACCTATCCGTTCAACATTCGGACAGCTGAAGAAGTTCCTCGAAGCGGAGATCAAGTCACAGACGATCTTTCCCGCTAGTTGCGCTCCCTTTTGCTGCATCTGTTTGCCTCTGAACTAAGATTTAGTTGGGAACATCTATTCATGGTCGCGTCTCACACCGTTGGACTCTGTCAAGGTAGTAATACTGGGCCAAGACCCATATCATGATATTGGACAAGCCCACGGCAAGTGATCGAACTCTCTATGTCCAACCAAATGTTCAGTGATCTCAAGGGCTTTCATTCTCTGTGCTGCCTCCAACAAAGATCCCCCCGTCCTTGAGGAACATCTACAAGCAGATCCAGAACGACTATCCATCCTTCGTACCCCCTAAATCAGGGTGCGCCCAGGGACAGTTCGCGACGACGCGTGCCTAACGCATCGCCAGGGACCTCTCGCAACTGGCGTCTCTAGGTGTCCTTTGGCTCAACTCAATTCTTACCGTTCGCGCCCATAGCGCCGCTTCACATGCAAACAAGGGTTGGGAGGATCTCACACGTGCAGTGCTACGATGCGTGTTAGCTCGCTCCAAGGAGCGCGGTGTTGTGTTCATGGCTTGGGGATTGCCAGCCCAGAAGATTGTTCAGAAAGTGGGTGTTGATAAGGTGCGCAGGCTATCTTCGTTCAAAGCCCTACCTCAGCATTCGTAGACGCGACATCTTGTTCTGGAATCCCCCCATCCATCTCCGCTCTCTGCCCATCGTGGCTTCTTGGGTAACGGCCATTTTCGCAAGGCGAACGAATGGCTTGAAGAAAGGTATGGGCCAGACGCTGGCATCGATTGGCAGATATTGGCCGCGTGATGTGCGTGATTATTTTGCATTCATAGTTTATCGTACTTGGTATATGTCTTAAATTCCGATAACCGCTTCGACAAGACCTGGAATCGAGTCGAAGAAGTCGAGCACTGGAATTTGTTCAGGGAGACAGTAGCAGAGAGAGCCGTCACATCCCACTTACTAACGATGCCGAATCGTTTACCCTTGCGTGCCTGAAGCCAGGGTAAGAGCAGCTGGTTCACTCCTGGAGTTCGGGTTCCGTTTCCGAGCGCCATGATCTAAAACCAGTGAGTCATTGCCGAAACAGAGGTTGCTGGACGCAGACCACAGGCCACACCGGTGGGGTGTCGAGGTCGTGCTCTGCACTAGCAAACGACCAGTACAACTGGTCCGGATTGTATTTTGTTGCGTTTTCGATGTGTTCGGTCGTTGCCTTGAATTTGGCCTGGATGTTCGCAGCATAGCCAGCGCCGGTGCCGAGATCATCGGGCTCATAATAGTCCTCAATATACGCGATCTGCTTCTCCGCTTGGTTGTAGACAATCTCAATATTGGCCTGGTCGTCATGCCATGCCGAGGGATCAAGCTGAATCCCGAGGCTGCTAGCATTGGAGGGGAGAAAGTCGTAGCTGAAGCGCTGGAGGAAGGTCAACTTGCCCCGCGCCTCTCCCAGTGTTCCGAGCGTGCCGTTGGCTTGCACCCAGTAGCGTTGGGCGAGATCGCTTGTCATGATGTCGTGTATATGTTCTTCGAGCTGCAGATCGCGCGGAGTGCCCGTCGATCCTTCGTAATTGAGCGATAAAAGTATAGCTTCGGAAGGATGTTTGTCCAACCAGCTATAGAGACCAAACCAGACATCTTCGACTGTTGTGTGTGGAGCCAACACGGCCTGACTGTGATGGAAACCCAGCTCCACATTTCCGGGATTGTATGCGAAGCGCATATCAAACACTCGGATCCCTTTATTGAGGGCATCGAAGAGCGAACTGTTCTGGCACTGGAACGACACAGCGGGCGGAATTCCACTGATGGATCCGTTGAGAATCATAGACCAAAGCAAGGCTCGGCGACAGTATGACGCACGTCCCAGTGTACTCGAAGAACGCATCCTGGGTGGCTTGAGTGTAGTTCCCTAGTCTCTTCAGCGCGATCATCCATCAGAGCAACGAAAACGAGCAGTACATGTCGACGAGTCATGAGTGCCAGGGAGGTTCATGTGAACGAGCTTTGTGTGATCGGGGTAGTTTCTCATCCAGTCGCATGTCTTTTCCCGCTGAGAGCAGCCATGATCGAAACCTAATCCCATGAGATGGAGAACGAGGCCATCTCATGAAGGGTGACGCACCAAGAATTGGGGCCCCGTCGGCCAAAATGCTCGCAAGCGCCGCATCTGCTAAAGACAGGTGCTTGGACGCGAGTACACTCAATGCGTAGTGTAGCACAACGAGTGCCGAGAGCCGCGCATACATTCTGAGGACTCGAGTAGCAGGAGACGGAGAGGACAGAACCTAGTCAAGGGCCGAACCTATTTTCGATTTAAACGGACAACTCGTGGACGAGCATCAGATGGTGTGTCTTCCCGGTGTTATCGCTTAGACACACAGCAGGACAGGACAACGTGCGTCACTCGCGGACGGACCGGTTACCCCCGGGTGACGCCCTCGCCTTGACCAAGCACTGAGCGAGGACTGCGTTGGCTTGACAGGAAAAGCCGGCGCGTACCAGTGCTGCCGCAAGTCCGGGATGGGTGTCTACACGTGGATTTCACGTGTTTTGTTTTCTCCGATGTGGCACTGGACAGTGGCGCCCGGTCTGACGTTATGCACCATCGAATATCACGTCTAGTTGCAAGCCCCGTTACGATACGAATTGACAAGATTGTACTTAAGTGATTGACAACTACATAAATATGGTGCCTGGTTTCCGGCGTTGGCGACGGCGGTCACTGTCGGCATGTGCGTTGTGCAAAATCCAGCGCGTCAAATAAGACTCGTAAGATCTCCGTTGTTTCTTCCATTCCAATGCTCAGGCGTACCTGAGCGGAACATTGAGAGATCGGAAGGAAAAACCGGAATCGAACAAACCAAGAAAGGCTCCACCCCATGTGCTTGCATCCACTCGCGTTTATCAGGCGGGAAGGCCAGCGCACTGAATGCTGTGGCAAGCGTGAATACAGTGCCTAGCGTAGCACCTCTAGAACACTGCAGGGACTCGTAGAAGGCCTTGGCTGCCTCCAACGACGTGAATATCGGCGACAGCAGATACGAATAGCCGGGATCGGCCAATCCAGCTTTAGCTGCCGAAAGATTGAGCACTCGGTCGTAGTTCTCCCGCGAGCGGTACTTAGGATAAAGAACCGTCTGAAGAACCGAGTTTGTCGCACCGCCGGCCAACGAACGAGAGAACAGGGCATCAGCTGCAGCTTCTGCGTTACGATTGACGACGGCAGTGCGTTCAACGAATTCGCGCGAGTTCATCTCCAGGATAAGGGCATCTTGGTCAAAAAAGTAGTCGCGGTAGGTGTCTTGCAGATGCATCTTGAAGCGAGAGTAAAATGGAGAGTCGGGATTCAACATAATCCTAGCCATGGGGTGAATTGTAGCGCGATGCAGCAAGAACTCGGACGTACGCGCCAACTTGTACGTTCGCCAATCCGCTAAAGAGCTTTGAAAGACTGGCCACGACGATATCGCAGTACGGCAAGGCTTGAACATTGAGATGGCCGGCGATGGTCTCGTCAACGACGACGGCGAAGTTATATTTGTCTGCGAGCCGACGCAGTCTCTCAAGATCAGGTGTTTCTATGTGAGGGTTGCCGGGGAGGTCGGTCATGACGGCCAGGATAGCCGGCGAGTCAGGGGTCCCGGATTCGAGTAGCACCTCCAGTTCGTCGAGCATGTTGTTGCTGAAGAAGTCATATCCTGGGTTATCTGGAAGTTCCAGAATACGGTACGAATCAGCGTAGAGCATACTGAGTGAAATATGAGGGTCGCAGTCGGCAAGACACGTAGCATGACTTACTTGACATGAGCAACTTTTGCAGTCTTGTTCGTGCTTCCCAAAACGGCAGAAATCAGCTGGTTCACTCTCCAGACTGCGTGCATCCCGGCAGGATACAGGTAGACGTCCTCAGGGGAGGCTGAAGATACGCCTCGGATGCTGGTCCCATCCTCCAGCACTCCACTGAACCGAGTCCGGATCGCCTTCTTTGCCTCGGCCACAGAAGATAACGGCGCATGCCGTTTGTAGTAATGAGAGAAGAGATGCCCTTCATCAGGCACGGGACTCAGAGCAGGCTCTTCAATTCCTTCTAGACGCTGGAGACAGACATCCGCAAGCCGTGGAGATATTCCAGTGCCGCTGAAGATATGGAAGCTCATTATTTCCGAGCGCCCCACAGATAGAAACGCCGCGTAGATCTCGTGTCCTGGGGGAGGATTCGCCACGGACGAAGCGGACTGAATATCACAAGAGGCCGATGGCAGCGTCTGCTGCATGTAATGACGGAGTTCCTCCGCGAACTGGCGACAGGGAAAGAGCAGCAGAAACCTCTTTTGGACTGGATCCAGCGCAGCGGAGACGATAGCGACAAGCTGATGGGCGTTAATAGACACGCTCTCGCACGAGAGAGATTCAACGCGCACTTTGGCAACCCTGGGATGCGTCCCGAACCGAGGGTACGCCGTCTCCAACTTCCATTCGAATGTGTCCCGTTTGCCCTCGGCTATGATGACATTGTGCTCCCAATCGGGCAGAGACCAGAGGAGCGAGTAGGGCGAGTCCGCTGGGATGCTCCGTCCCAAAGACGGAGTCGGCTGCGGGATTGCGTTCATTGAGAGTGCCTGGGAACAGTGCGCTGTTTGAGCTGCCCATGGATACTTGTTGTTCCGAGAGAACTGCTGTTGCGGATGATTGACACAGAGTGCTTGTCAGGCTCAAAGCACTTGACGTTCTCGATGGCCTTTGTCAGAAAACCTGGCATGCTCGTTGTCTGACCCTCCAGCGCCGATGCAGCGTCATCAGAGTAGCCATTACGAAGTTATCACCGGGTGTCCAAATTCGGACTTTGATTGGCATCAATTGGCAGTACCCACTACTTAGCACACATTCTTGCATCTGGTTGGAAGGCATGTAACAGGATAATTGCCAAGGGATTACCAAGTGTCCAAGTACGCTACTTGGTTTTTGGCGTGCCCAATGGCGCTGACTGTCAGCCTGCGCGTTGGGCGTCATCGAGTGCGTCAAATACCACTCGCAATATCTCAGCCGTTTCTTCCATTCCAATGCTCAGGCGTACCTGAACGGAGAATTGAGAGACGGGAATGTGGAAAAGTAACCGAACAAACCAAGAAAGGCTCGATACCGTGTGCTTGCATCCAATCCAGCTTATCGGGAGCAAAGGCCAAAGCACAGAATGCCGTGGAAAGCGTGAACACAGTTCCCAGAGTGGCACCTTTGGGGCATTTCAGAGACTCGTAGAAGATCTTGGCTGCTTCCAACGACGTAAATGTCACAGAAAGCAGATGGGAGTAGCCGGGATGACTCAATCCAGCTTTGGCTGCCAGAGGATTTCTCAATTGCTCGTAGTTCTCTCTTGTGCGATATTTAGGGTAATGGACCTGAGGATTAAAATCAGAACCGGGCGCGTAATCTCTATCAGGCAAACCTCTTGTATAACAGAGTCCGTCGCACCGCCGGCCAACGAACGAGAGTACAGCGCATCCGCAACAGCTTCGGCATTCCGGTTGACCACGGAAAATCGCTCAGCCAATTCACGGGAGTTCATCTCCAAAATGAGTGCATCTTGGTCGAAGAAACAATCGAGGTAGGTGTCTTGCAAGTACGCTTTGAATCGGGGATAGAAGCGAGAGTCGGGATTCAACATGACCCTGAGCGGGAGGTCAATAGAGCTGCGTAATGCACCGCGATCGGAAACTTGTACGCACGCGCCGGCTTGTACATTCGCCAGTCCACTGAAGAGCTTCGAAAGACTGGCCACGACAACATCGCAGTAGGGAAAGACCTGGACAGTGAGGTACCCAGCTACAGTCTCGTCGACCACGATGGGAAAGTTGTATTTGTCCGCGAGTCGACGCAGTCTCTTGATATCAGGGGTGCGCAGATGGGGATTCCCCGGGACTTCGGTCATCAATGCCAGGATGGCTGGAGAGTCTGGGGTTCCGGACTCGAGGAGAGCCTCTAAATCATCAAGCGTGTCGTTGCTAAAGAAGTGGTATCCCGGGCTGTCTGGAAGTTGCAGAAAGCGATAGGAGTCGGCGTAGATCAAGCTGTATACGACCTGAGTCTCATGGTTTGTGCGACACAATGTGTGGCTTACTTGACATGAGCAACCTTCGCAGTGCTGTTCTTGCTGCCTAAGACGGCAGAAATCATCTGGCTCACTCTCCATAACGCATGCATCCCGGCAGGATACAGGTACACGTCCTCAGGAGAGGCCGATGCAACTCCTCGAATGTTGGTCCCGTCCTCGAGGACTCCACTGAACCGAGTCCGGATCGCCCTCTTCGCATCGGCAGCAGATCGCAACGGCGCATGTCGTTTGTAGTAATCCGAGAAGAGATGACCTTCATTAGGCACAGGAATCAGAGCAGGCTCTTCAATTCCTTCTAGACGCCGAAGACAGACATTCGCCAGCCGTGGGGATATTCCAGTGCCGCTGAAGATATGGAAGCTCATCACTTGCGACCGCTCTACAGACAGAAACGCCGCGTAGATCTCGTGTCCTGGGGGAGGATTCGCCACGGACGAAGCGGACTGAATATCACAAGAGGCCGATGGCAGCGTCTGCTGCATGTAACGGCGGAGCTCTTCCGCGAACTGACGGCAAGGAAAGAGCAGCATAACTCTTTTTCGACGGGGATCTAGAGCAGCGGAGATGATAGTTGCAAGCTCATCGGCGTGATCAGACGGAATAAAAAACGAAAGTGTGTGAACGCTTACTTTGGCAACCTGTGGATGGGTACCGAAACGGGGATATACCGTCTCCGTTTTTCCTGCGAAGGTCGCCGCTTTGCCCTCACCGATTGTAACGTTGTGCTGCCATTCGGGCAGGGACCAGATGAGTGAGTAGGGTGAGTTGGCTGGGATGCTCCGTCCCAAAGACGGCGTGGGCTGGGGTGTCAAGTCCATAGAGAGCACTTCAGGATGGCGCGTGTTTTAAGCTGGCCAGTGACACTCGCAGAGCCTAAAGAAGTACCGTTGCCCCTCATTGACATAAAGTGCTTGCTGGGCCCAAAGTGCTCCACAGCGACTATAGCCTTTTCGCTAACGAGCACGAAGCATCTGTGCCGATCGCGGCGGATGAAAAGCACACGCCCTCAGCCGGAGATGGTCGCGGCAATAGAGTACAAAAGAAAGTCCTGCCAGATTGGAACGCATCAATGGACATTTGATATGAGCGAGAGGGAAATTTCGTACTGACCCATACATATATTTTCAAGATCAGAGTGGATTTGAACGACAGACTTCGTCATCGCGGCTCGCGCCAGTCTCGTGGGCGCATCCCTTGTTTCAGACCGGTAGTAAGGTAAGTAGCGCTATTGGACAGCCATATTAGCATCGTTTTGAGTTACTGACATGACGCAATCGACGAAAGAAGTCATGATTCCGGCGATGCGTATGCGCGCTGGGGCAACATCCTAGTCAGTAATAGAATCAATCATTAGAAGAGCAGGACGCAGCAATTTGGCAGAACTTGCCAGGCATTCATGGCAGCGACAATCACGGATCAAGACGTGCAGATCAACAACCATCCAGGTCCCTGTCGGTCAAAGCCTCTCCAGTAGTTCTTTCGCTCTGTTACATTCCTATCCAGCCATGAGTGGGCGATGCCACTCATATACGTCTGAGTTCGTGCACGCGCAGCTCATTTGTTCTTTGATTGCAGATGGTTCAGGATCGAGTAGCAAATGCGGTCGGTGGATGGACTGTGAATGTCTAGTATATCATTGCTGCTCAGAGCAATCGCAGCCTCTCCACCCTTCCCGACCGTATCGCATCTTCTACTCTAGCAACTGAATGACCATGCTCTGGGCCGCGTGGTTAGTTGGGGAGTATAGGACGGACTGTGCGTTGGGTTTGATCCAGAGCAGCCAGAACCACTCGTATGATCTCCGTTGGATCTTCCATCCCAACGCTCAAGCGCACCTGAGGATGTTGGTGAGAGACAGGAAGAAAGGGGATGATGCCATGACGTACTGAAATCGGATCTACATCATGCTCTCGCAACCAGTCCATCTTTTCGGGTGGGAAAGCCAACACAGTAAATGCTGTGGACAACGTGAAGACAGTTCCGAGCGTAGTGCCTTTGAAACATTGCAGCGATTCGTAGAAGGTCTCTGCTGCTTCCAACGACGTGAATATTGCGGTCATCAAATGCGAATACCCGGGATTAGCGACTCCCGCTTTCGCTGCCTGAGGATTCATCACCCGGTCGTAGTTCTCGCGTGTACGATATTTAGGATAGTGGATCTGATATTCTGATCAGGACCACGCAAGCAACTGTTTTCTCGAGCGAACCTCTTTGAGGACCGACTGTGTCGCACCACCGGCCAAAGAACGAGCGTAGAGCGCATCCGCAACAGCTTCGGCATTGCGATTGGTCACGACAGTCCGTTCAGCCAGTTCACGCGAATTCATCTCCAAAATAAGGGCGTCTTGATCGAAAAGATAGTCGCGATAGGTGTCGTTCATGTAGGCTTTGAAACGGGAATAGAAGCGGGAGTCGGGATTCAGCATGAGGCTAAAGCGGCGATCAATACCTGTGTAGTGTTCTATCACTGGAAACTTGTACGCACGCGCCAGCTAGTACGTTCGCCAATCCGCTGAAAATCTTTGAAAGACTCGCGACGACAATATCGCAGTAGGGCAAGACTTGAACGTTGAGATGACCGGTGATGGTCTCGTCCACGACGATGGGAAAGTTGTATTTGTCAGCGAGTCGACGCAGTCTCTCCAAATCGGCCGTTTGCATGTGAGGGTTCCCCGGAAGTTCAGTCATCAAGGCCAAGATAGTCGGCGAGTCAGGGGTTCCGGACGCGAGAAGCGCCTCGAGCTGGTCAAGCGTGTCGTTGCTGAAGAAATGATATCCTCCACCGTTTGGTGTTTGCAAAAATCGGTAGGAATCGGCATAGACCAAGCTGTATTCAGGTTCAGTTTCATTTTGAAAAGAATCACAGTGCTCACTTTACATGAGCAACCTTTGCAGAGCTGTTCTTGCCTCCTAAAACAGCAGAAATCAGCTGGTTCACTCTCCAAACCGCGTGCATCCCAGCAGGATAAAGGTAGACATCGTCAGGGGAGGCTGTCGGAACGCCCCGAATGTTGGTCCCATCCCCAAGTACTCCACTGAACCGAGTCCGGATGGCCATTTTCGCCTCGGCCACAGATGACAACGGCGCATGCCGTTTGTAGTAATCCGAGAAGAAATGACCTTCACTGGGCACTGGGTTCAGAGCGGGCTCTTCGATTCCGGCCAGACGCTGGAGACAAACGTCCGCGAGCCGCGGAGATATCGTGGTCCCGCTGTAGACGTGGAAGTTCATTGCTTTCGCACGTTCCACGGATAGAAACACCGCGTAGATGTCGTGTCCCGCTGGAGGATTGGCGACGGACGACACGCACTGAATATCGCAAGAGGCGGAGGGAAGTGTCTGCTGCATGTAATCGCGACATTCCTCCGCAAACTGAAGACAAGGGAAGAGCAGCATGGCTCTTTTTTGAACTGGATCCAGAGCATCGGAAATGATAGCGGAGAGCTGACAGACATGAACAGAACGGACAAGGAAACAAAAGCGACGGCCTACTTTCGTGACTCGGGCATGACATGCGAAGCGAGGATAGTTTGTCTCCATCAGGTGCTGGAAGCCTTGCGCCTTGCCTGAAGCAAGGGCAATGTTATTTTTCCATTCAGGTAGAGAAGTGACCAATGAGAAAGGCGAGTTTGCGGGGATGCTACGTCCCAACGACGGGGTTGGCTGGATGGTGTAGGCCATGCAGAGCGGTCATGAGTGACGCGCTTTATAGCATGGGGCGTTGATACGATACATTCTCTTCCGAAAAGAATCGTCGTCGGTCGTACAGACTTCGAAGATTGGGTCGGCATTAGACGGAATCTATTCGTTTCAGCTTAATCAGTACGGTATGTATAGCTATTATCCAGGAGAGAAAGACTAGCGCCCGGCGTTCGTCTTGAGGCAGAATTGTGGCTTCGAAGCCAACGGAGAATTAATCGCCATCTTCCCAGCTTAGACAGATCTCATTTAACGGTTCGGAAATTGCTGCCGATTCAGACGTCTGCAACTGATTAGCCAGACCCACAGCAAAAAAGATAACGTAGATACCGGCATTCTTTCAGAGCCGAGGCTCGATGGCGCCCCTGCCAGCAAAGCACCTGCCACGTCATTCGTAGACTCCGAAGAAACAGGCGAGCCAAAAGCTCGATGTCGGGGCCGTCCTATTCGCTCTGCCTGTGCAGGCTGTGACGTGGGTACCAAGCGCACATTGAGAATTGGGGTGGCGATCCCCAGGTCCGCGGGAAGTCCAGAAGCAGATTCCGAGCGCGATTGCGAACTAGACGCGTTCCGTGGTGGGGTGCTGGCGTTCAGCGGAGATGGAGGCCCACGAAGCGTCACTGTTAGAGGCTCCCGGCCCTCATTGGAAGCCGTCAATGAGTTTTCATTCCTCCGAGCAGAAAGCGAGGTGGACCGCGAAAGAGACGCGGTTGGCGTTATGGCACGGTTATGCAAATTGAACGGGATGATGGAGGCAACGTTCACCATTTTCCTGGAATTGGTTAAGCGACGCGTCCAGAACCGCAAGTCACTGCCGACGCACCTCTCTTTCGCCCTCACAATCTCTATCAAGCGTCTTTGATGGTCGATTGTCGGCCCTGCCGGAGGACTTCTTGACCAATGTCAGGAGCCTCGTGCATTGAAGATGGGAGTGCTACATACGGAGACACCTCAATGCTATGGGGTATGAGTCGAGTGTTCTCGTCTGGAATGTCATCGTCACTGCGTTCGTTGAGCTTTCCACAGCAGCAGAACAGGCTAGACAGGAAAGAGGATGACATGCGGGGCTGGCATGGGGAGCGCGCTGGCTGAAAGACCGTGATCCGATCATACCAATAAGCACATAACATGATGCATTTACTTCAACTTCGCTGTAGCATATTATACAAGCTGACTTATTGTACTGCTCTCCCAAGAACGAGCTTGACCGCCCAGAATGTGTATTTGTTCAGATTTCACGTTCAACCGCGTTCACATGGATAGATTATGGCAGGCTGGTGAAATTAAATGTCTGGTTCGCGAATCAAGTGCACGTCACATGATTTAAGTGATCCCTTACGCGCACCCGCGCCGCTCGCAGTCGATAATCAGCCCTTGAACTTGGATGGATGGCCTCCAGCTACCACCCCATCGCACCCGTCTCAATCTCTATTATCCGCAGCCGGTACAGCACTCTCGTTCGATCCGCATCCGACACACTCTGGACTGGACTCAACTCGGGCAATGTCGTCGCCTGCCACGGTACGGCAGGCATGCGTGAGTGTCGTTCCCAGTTGGTGGGTCATTGGCGGTTGCCAAGATACTCGCGGGCGAAGGTTATGTGCGTGCCATTGGTGTAGCCGAGATGGGCTGGGATCCGGACCAAGGGCGGTGTCAACAAATGGTTCTGTCGGTGAGTGATCTTTGTAGCAGTCGTCGAGCTCGGGATGAACTCCATTAGCTCCCACCCTACTCTCACCCATTCTCAATACATCCGTGGCTTCTCATACTCTGGGCTGCCTCATCGGTCGGCCAGAACTACTGCTCTTGAACTCGGCGACTGGAGCAGTCTTGAACAAGCACCTTGCCCTTCCCTGTTGACACACCTGGGAGCTCTCGCACTCATCTATCCTTTTCCGAGCGTCCGATGGACTGGTTCGGGGCGTGCACGATCTCACGCAACCGCTCTTGCGCGGTCGGAATCGCAGTTCCGGGCGCATCACGGAGGGATTCAGG